CAAATGTCACCTATTGGTCGCTCAGTATATTTTTCCACTTCTTTAACCACATTCCCTAAGATGGAAATGTTCCTCATCTGTTTTAGCCTCATCTGTTCTTTTCAAACAACCTAGAGTCAAAAAGAAGCACTGTCATTATTTTCATGTTACAAATGAGGGGGTAAAAAATGCCATGTTTAAGGTCACCTGGTCCCTTAGGTTCAAAGTTCATCTTTCTTCACATAAATCATGTATTTCTAAACTTTCTTCTCTTTGGAGGAACAGGGAACTTTCTGATAAGTTAGATATTAAAAGATTAAGTACAAATAAGATATAAAACACCAAACCAACAATTATGAAGTCCAGAATGACTGAAGAGCTGAAGCATGAGAACAATTTTTTTAAAAAGGCTTGTTTGGGGCACCTGGGTGGCTCAGTTGTTGGGCATCTGCCTTCAACTGGGGTCATGGTCCCAAGGTCCTGGGATGGAGCCCACCACTGGACCTCCTGCGCAGAGGGAGGCCTGCTTCTCCCTTTCCCACTCCCCCTGTTTGTATTCCCTCTCTTGCTGTGTTTCTCTTGATCAAATAAATAAAATCTTAAAAAAAAAAAAAAAAAGGTGTGTTTAGAATAAGAAAAAATAAACAAAGGGCCCACTGTTTTGGGAAGATTTTGTAATATCAAGAGATGACAAGGACAAATACAGACCCATTCAGCTTCTTCTTTGCTTGGGTAATCTTCATCAAGGACCTAGATCTTAAAGGATAGAACTCTTGATAAAACGAAGCTAACATCTGAGGTAAGTGGCAGGAAGAAAGGATAGTTACAGAATACAGAGCTAATTCAAAAGAATTTGCATTCTGACTGACTTATTCGCTAAGCATAATACCCTCTAGTTTCATCCACGTAGTTGCAAATGGCAAGATTTCATTTTTTTGATGGCTGAGTAGTCAATCAGAGAAAGACAATTACCATATAATCCCACTCATATGTGGAATTTAAAAAACAAAACAGAGAATCATAGAGGAAGATAAGAAAAAATAAAACAAGAGGAAATCAGAGAGGGAGACAAACCATAAGAGACTCTTAATCATAGGAAACAAACTGAGGATTGCTGGAGGGGAGAGGGGTGGGGTGATGGGATCACTGGGTGATGGACATTAAGGAGGGCACATGGTGTAGTAAGCACTGGGTATTACATAAGACTGATAAATCATTGACCTCTGCCTCTGAAGCTAATAATACATTATATGTTAATTGAATTTAAACAAAAATAAAATAAATAAATAAATCCCACAGGACTGCAGGAAACCCAAGGGTAGAGAACCTCTTTTCTTGAATATTTTATAATTAGGTATAATGTTGTGCCCAATTGAGAATAAAAACAAAAAATGAATGTGTGGGGGGAAAAAAAAGAATCTGCATTCTGATCTAAACAAATCACACTCTATGATACTAAAAAAACTTTTAGATCTGACTGCTGATTATCTAAGCTATCTTGACAAGATGCCAGAAGACCAGAGATGAAGGAATGCATGCTCCATTTTCAAAAAAGGAGAATTGCCTATCCAGAAAAACATCTATGGGTAAACTTGCCATGTAAAAGTCTAGAATGGGTAAATACATTTTGAACACAATAAAAAGTAAAGCCACCTGGGCTCTTTATTAATATTAAGGCAGGCTACACAACATTTGCTATTAGATAAGATTACTAAAATGGAAACAGGGAGAATGATACAGACATATACATAACCGATTCTAACAAGATGATCTGACAGAATATTTAATAGTCTAGTGAACAAAATGGGAAAATGCTGAACAGCAGAAATTCAAAAATCTGTTAAACTCTACGAGGATGCATAGATAGTTGAAGAGCTGGTTGATTATTGTATCAACATTAACCAATTCAGCAGGAAGTCTCCTATAAAATATCACAGAGTTACATCTTTTTCCAGGATCTAGACAACTTCTATTAATTAACTAAAGCCATAGACCTCCTTTTTAGATTTGCAAGGGCCTCATAGATTGCTATGAGTGACCAAAACACACTAAGCCTCACAGAATCAGACTCCAGAAAGGTCAGAGTAGGCTGAAATGATCCAAATTAAAAATGAAAATTAACAGGGACTGAACTATAGGAAACAAACTGAGGGTTGCTGAAGGGTTGCTAGAGGGTGGGGAAAGGGGTAACTGGGTGATGGGCATTAAGAAAGGCACTTAAAGTAATGAGCACTGGGTGTTATGTGCAACTGACGAATCACTAAATTCTACCTTGAAACTAAGAATAATATAGTATATGTCAATTAAATTGAATTTTTTTAAAAATTTTTTTAAAAAAGAAAATCAACAGGAAGTCAAGGCCAGCATTTAGATTTTGGTGAAAATCAAATATAGGAATAAAGGAATAAACTTCAGTTTATGTGGAAATACCTGGGTAATAAGAGCAACTACAAAAAAAAAAAAATCTATGTGAATCTCAAGCTGCATTAACAGATGCACATTATAATTCTTAAAAAATTATTTTTCCGTATGAATCACTCCTGGATTTTCATCCTAGAAACAGTTATAACAAGAATCTACAAGTATCATTTAGTTAAAACTCTAGCTTTATCTTTTTTAAGATTTTATTTATTTATTTGAGAGAGAAGTGCACGACCAGGGAGGGAAAGAGAGAAGCTGAGCAGGGAGCCTGATGCGGGGCCTCAATCCAGGACCCCCAGGTTCATGACCTGAGCCAAAGGCAGATGGTTAACTGTCTGAGCCACCCAGGCACCCCAAAACTCTAGGTTTAGACCCAGAGTTATTCAAATGAATCTTAGCATTAAAAAACATTTTATTTGATAAGCCTAATTTATTGACATGTATATTAATATATCCTTGAAAGAAGTCTAGATATTATTAAATCCAAGTCCCTTTCTTAATAGAAGAGGAAATTAAGAAAAATTGACTAACTTGCTCCAAATAGCATAGCTGCTTAGCAAGAGCCATGATCTCCAAATCAGTCCCCTTTTCCTACACCATGAGGGTTTCCAGCCCTCTGTGTCCTTTCTTAAAAGTTGTATTTTGCACTAAAGGATTAGAAAACATACACAAAAACATCCATCAGCACACAGTGTTTTGCTAAGGACAAATTAGCTTAGCAAGAACAAATAATCACAGCACATTAGCCAGTAAAATATTTTGACATGGTGCGATCATTTACAAGTTTGATAACAACAAATATTTGCTACAAAAAGACACTCCAATATACAAATGGTTTTTATTCTTAACAATGAATATATGATTATTTATTAAAGCCTTATCCCATATCCCACTTAACATTAGAAAAATAAAGTGAAAGTTATTACATGGATGGAAAAGCTTTTAATGGACATGCCATTGTTTACAGAGCTCAAAATCCCTCCCCCATCATAAAACACACCATTATGAAAATTACTAAGAGATTTTAGACCTTGAAATCTAAACAGCAGGCCAAAGGTTTTCTTCACATAGGGTAGCATCTGTGCTGAGGCCCTCTTGCTCCCTCCTCACTCCCCCAGAAACAACGCAGCCGCTTCAATAGCCCAAAGGTACAAAGGTTGTCTGTCAGGCAGGCCAGTGGATCCCCCAGTGGCCTGAAGTCCACCCTCTTTCCCCTCCTCCTCCTCCCCCCTCCCACTTCCCCCCAGGCCTCTTCCCCGGCCCCCTTGGTTTAAAGAAGACAAGTGGAGAATTAAGAATTGATAAAAGGGTAAGTTAGCAAGACTGTGGCTTATGATGACTACCATTTGCTAGGCCAGCTTCAGGAGGGCCCACCCCACCAACCCCTAAATCAGACCTGGAAGCTTCTCCTTGCCCCAGGGGCTCCTCTGGGACCCCTTTTGAAAGGAAGAAGGAACTTTACTGCCCAGATAGCCTCATCACCAGTCACTTCCATTAGAGCCCCAGCAAGCTCTTTGTTTTCAAGGGGGGTGGGGGGCGGCCTCGGAAAAGAGGAGAGGTGACTCCCTTGCTCCCATTGCTGCCCATCTCCAGGCCCTCCAGCAAAACATACAAACACACGCACAAGATCATTCTCTTTGAACTGGTTCCCTCTTTCCACACCACCTTAAAAACCCAGAGTCACACCTAGCTACACAGAGGCACTTCCTGAGATCTAATTACCTCTTTCTATACCCAAACCCTATACAGGATGACTCCCTAGCTCCCTCCCTCCCAATGGACACAAACGGGGTTCACTCCAGGACTTCCATCCTTCTTCTTCAATGCATTCCCCGGGGTATATCCCCGAGCCCCATGCAGAACGCACAAATACACAGGGTCATTTCCTGGGCCCCAAGACTTTTCCCTGCTCACATCCACAGACCCCGCGGTCACGCCAAGCCCCCGGAGTCCACCTCTGAACCCAAAGGACATATACACATGCACACACGCGCGCACACACACACACACACACAAACACACAGTCACTTCTACCATCGTCAACCAACATCCTCTGGGCCACCCGTTCCCTTTACCCACAGGATCACTCCGAGACCCCAGTGTCCCAAGAACCTCCCAGCACATGGTCACTCCCTTGGCCCTCAGGCTCTTCCCCCCCCCCCGCCCCTCACCGTCTCTCTCTCTCTCTCTCTCTCTCTCTCACACACACACACACACACACACACACACTCCTGCTTCCCCTGAGCCTTCACAACACAAACACGCGCTCCCGCAAGCACACCCACGGTCACACCAGGAGCCCCGGCTGGCTTCCCCTGCCTTGCCCGGTCCCGTCCCCACCACCTCACCGCACGCCCGGCCGCTCTCGCCCAGACACTCGACACACATGGTCGCACGCACGGCCACTCCCCATGCCCAGCGCCGGGCCCCGAGCCCCCAAGGCATGTTCGCGCCCTGCCCTCCGCCCTCGTTCACCCCGGGGGTCCCCCTCTCCCGGAGCCCCGCGCCGGGCCTTTCCCAGCGCCGCGGCCAGGACGGGGAGGGCGGCGGCGGCGGCAGCGGAGGGAGGGGCCGCAGGGGCGGGCTCCGGCCGCTCCTACCTGAGCAGTTGATGCTTTTGCCTTTGCCGCCGGGACAGTCCCCGCCGCCGCCGCTGCCGCTACCCGGGGGCTGGTTGGACGCGCGGCTCCCGGGCAGAGAGAAGGCGAAGAGCAGAAGCACCGACGTGTAGCAGCAGAAGGCGAGCGGGGGCGCGGCAGGCAGCCGAAGCGGCGCCTCAGCGGCCGCGGCGCCCATGACTGGCGCCCCTGGACGGCGGGAAGCGCAGGGAGCCGCAGGCCCGGGGCATCCAGCCGCGCGCCGGGAGCCCCGCCGCTACCTCGGCGCCTCCTAGCAGCAACGCCGCTGCGCGGGGGAGCAGCCCCTCAGCATCCCGGTCCCACCCGCAGCGCCCGCCAGGCCCCGGCCCGCCGCGCTCGGGACGGAGTCGGAGGGTCCGGGCGCGCGCGAGGGTCGCGGGCGCGCGAGGGTGCGCGCGAGGGTACGAGCCCGCGTGGCGGGGGGAGACCGAGGCTGGGGGCGTGAACGGGCGCGCGCGCGGCGGGCGGGGGTCGTGGGGCGGGGGCAGGCCCAGCCCCTCACTCGCCGCTCGCCTTCCCTTTGTGTCCGCGGCCGTCGCCACCGCGTCACAAAGACCCCGGCCCGCCCGGTGAGGGGCGCGTGACAGAGCCGCGGGCGGGAGGGGTGGCTGCGACCCCGCCCCGCGCACACCCCCAGCGCCCGCGTCGGCAGCTCCGCCCCCGCCCGCGGCCGGCACCGCCTCCGGGGGAGCTATTGTTCCTGCGGCGGGGCGGGAGTGCCGAGGGCCGGGGTCGCGGGCGCTCCTCCGCGAGATCGCGGGGATTGGCGGCCAGCCGGGATGCTCCGTATGTACTACCGTAACAGACATTTTTGCCGCCCTTTGCAAGTGGTTTTGAAGCATTTCCTTCGCCCAGCACCCGGGCTGGGAAAGAAGGGCAGGTGGTCTATTATACATCTAATTTCTAGTGAAGAAATTGAGCCGCGGAGAGGTGAAGGTTACTTGTCCAAGGTCGCATACCAAGAAATGGACTGGACTCGAACTGGAACCCAAGTTCTGACTCCAACTCTGCAGTTCTTAGAGATGGGGTAAATGGCTAAATTCTAGGCTCCTCTCCCCCACCCCTTTCCTTCATACACCAACTGAATTTTAAATACGGTTTTAAAAGTCTATATTGTCCTTTCCCACCAATAACTAAAACAGAGAGAAGATTTGCCATATGCAAGACCTGGACGAAGCTCTCTTTACGAGCATTCTCTCCAATTCTTTTTTACAGCCCTGCAAGGGGAGTTTTCATTCTCATCCCCATTCCACAGATGAGGAAGTTGGGACCGAAAGACTTAAAGTGATCTGACTCCCAGTCCTGTGCTCTTCCCATCACATGATAGATGAGACCCTCAGGCAGTAAGATAATGGACTGAATTTTTGGAAGGTCTTCAGCCTTTTTCATAGATTATGCTGCTTCTCACCTTGAAAATTTTAAAATCTCATTGAAAGATTGATAAATTTGACTCAAAATTTTAAAATGTGTGAAAAGCCACCACAAGCAAAGCCACATCAGGGAAAATATTTTCAATGTGAATAAGAGACAATATACTTACTATAAAGAATATAAATCAAGAAGAAAAAGTTGACATAATAGAAAAATGAGAACCTGACTTGTCTTTTTTAACATAAAATACAGACAATATATATATATGAAAAGGTATTTAAACCCACTAGTAATAAACGTCAGATTAAAACCACAAGATTTTTTTTTCCTGAACATGATTAACAATAGTTAAAAGAATTAACAAAACCTGGCACCCTTAATTTATACATTTTGGGAGGGCAATTCAAGTATATATCAAAAACCGTTAAAATAAGTTTATCCTTGGAGTGCCTCGGTGGCTCAGCAGGTTAAGCCTCTGCCTTTGGGTCAGGTCATGATCTCAAGGTCCCGGGATCCAGCCCCACATTGGTCTCTCTGCTCAGTGGGGAGCCTGCTTCCCCCCCACCTTCCTCTCTGCCTACTTGTGATCTCTGTCAAATAAATAAATAAAATCTTTTTAAAAAAATAGGTTTATCCTTTAAATCTAGGAATTCCATGTATTGGAATTTATCCTAAAGAAATCATTGTACAAGCACACAAAAATGTATATATGGATGTTCATGACTTTTTTGTAGTAGTAAATATAATTTAAATGTCCATGTGTGGAAAATAAAGTATGGTACCTCTTTGTACAGAGGAATATTTTGCAGTTTTATTTATGATAATAACATGGAAAAAAGGATACTGATGAGCATAAGAAAATCGTATTTCTAAAATATGTGTGTGTATACACATCCCTAGCAAAGAAATCAAGAAGAATAGACAGCTATATATTAACTGTGATTATCTCTGAAAGGTGGGCTTATGAGTAATTGGCACTTGTCCTTTATATTTTTCTGTATTGTCTGAATTTTTTGCAATGAAAATTTTTATTGTTATAATTTAAAACTATTTTATTTTAATTTCTTTTAAATTATATTTTCAGCATCCTTCTTTATAAATTCATATGTTAACATTTTGTTAAGATTTGCCTCAAACTTCTAAACTGTTAGCTGGGGCATGGCAGTTGTTATAATGAAAATTCAGCTTCCGGCTTCTGATTCAGGTGTGATCCGGGGTTCCTGACTGCTAAGTCACAGCTAAAGGCTCCTTCTCAGAGCATTTCTTCAACAGCTTCTCTGCTCATCTTGACCTCTTCTTTGCTTCTTTCTAGCCCTCTGTCTTGGCTCTCCCACCCACCCACCCCACCCCCTGCCCCAGTATTTTGCCTTTAATTTTCATTTGACTGCTAACCATAGTCCAGGCAGAAATACTAAGAGGAGACAACCCTTAAATAAAACGCAAAAAACCTGTGCCATACATCACAAATTAATTTACATCTGCAGCTTTCTCCGAATTAGGTAGGAAAAACTCAGCTCAGATTTCTCAAAAATTCAGCTCATATTTCTCAAAAGTTGTCAAACTGAAAAGGCCTCTACTTCAGAAACATGGTTTCTCTGATGTCAATCATCCAAACTCAGAGAGGAAAAAAGATTTTACTGGTCATCTAATATAACCCCTATCACATGCTTTAATATCGGTGACTCCAAAATGTTAGATAGCAAAAGAGTATGGGACTTACTACATGAAAATCACCCAGAAAGTTTTAAAAGAATGTAGATTTGTGAACACCACTCCAGAAATGCTTGGAGGTGGGGAGGAGACTACTCAAATACCCCTTATGTGTATTAAAGTTCTCTAGTAACTCAGATAGACTGCCAGTTTGGAAACTCCTGACCTAACCTGGAACAGTCAGTTATTGTTCCATAACAAACAACCATAAACCCTTAGCAGTGTGCCACAATAAGCATTCGTCTCTCTCAGGTCTGGGGGTTGATGAGTCTAGGCTAGGCTTGGCTGAATGGCTCTGCCTCAAGCTGCAGGTCCAGCTGGGCTAGACTCCTGTGTGCAGGTTGAGCTCTGATCTTCTCCAGGATTATTCTTTTGGGGGCCCCAGCTGAAGGGGCAGCAGCTGCCCAGAGGGAACTCTATGAAGTTGGCAGTGGTGCAGAGGGACATGCCCAACTGTGCAAGCATTTTTCATCCCCCTGCTTCTACATTGTCTGCTAACATCCCACTGACTAAATCAAGTATCATAGCTGAAACCAAAGAAAAGGGGTAGGAACTCTATTCTGGAGGTGAGTGAAAGGGAGTGAGTAGGGAGTGAATATTTTTTTAATAATAATCTATCAGAAATCCTATACTTGAATGCCATTATTTATGCTCTGTCAGAATGTTTTCAGTTCTGGGGCACTTGGGTGGCTCAGTGGGTTAAGTGTTCTACTCTTGATTTTGGCTCAGGTCATGATCTCAGGGTTGTAGGACAGAACCCCGGGTGAGGTTCCACACTGGGTGTGAAGCCAGCTTAAGATTCTCCCTCTCCCTCTGCCTCCCCCCACAACTTCCTCTCTCTCAAAAAAAAAAAAAAAAAAAAAAAGAGAGAACACTTTCAGTTCCAAGTAACAGAAAACCCAACCCAAATTAACTTAAAAAGAGATTTATTGACTCAGGTTTAAAATTTTTTAAATTTTAAAAAGCATAAGGTAGTACCCTCTTTTGTGATGGAAAACACTGTATTCCTTCGAGAAATCTTTGTGAGCATCCACTGTGTGCTAGGCACCACAGTAGCTATGGGGAGCAAGAGATAATTCTGCCTTGCTGTCTTGAGGGGAGAGTGGGAGGACCTCTGAAAATTAATGATTACAACTCAATATGATACACACTAACTAGAGACAGAGTATGGGGACAGGTGTAGGAGTAAATGGCGAATCTCCTCCACACTCCCAGGTTGGCCAAAATTCTGGCTTTTCTGGACCTCCTGCTGCAGGGTCTAGCTACATAATGAAGCCCTGATAAATGGTAATGAGACAATTTGGGACTGACAAGGTGGCCCTGGTAGGAGAGAGTCACAGCACTTGAGCTCAGTCCAGAAACACTGGAAGGATTTATGATGCAGCACTGACACAAGCCTGGAATTGACCTCTGGCCCATCTTGGGAAATTGGCCACCCCCGCTCACCTTCCTAGAATAAGCAGTCGTTTCGAAAAATGGAAAGAGTGAGTGAAGTCATTCATTCAGTATGTTTGTACTGAAGGCCTACTCCTCCCTGAAAACACAATGGTGAGCACAACAGACCTAGTTCCTTCTTGATGAGGTTTACAGTTAATATTAATCAATTATCAAAATAAAAGTAAAATTGCAACAATGTTGATAAATGCTATGAAGGGAAAGGTCAGAGGTTTACCTGTTTACAGTGACACTTGTGCTAAGCCCAGAAGGTTGAGTGGAAATTAACCCAGAAGAGAGTGTTCCGGGCAGAGGGAACATCGTTAGCAAATGCCTGTGAGTGAAAAGGGTCTGAATGCGGGCCAGTGTAGTAAAGATAGAGAGCAAGGTCAGCTTGTTTTAAACTTCATTCATTGATTCAACAAATATTTACTGAGGACCAGCTGTGATGGAGGCACTATTCTAGATGCAGAGAAACAGCAGTGGACAAAACAAAGTCCCTGCTTCTCATGGATAGTGAGAAGACCCCGTAACAGTAATACCGGTGGGGGAGAATGATTGTTGGATCCGGCCATAATAACAGCAACTATAATTCACTGCAGGCCTGCCACATCCTGGATATTGCCAGCCTCTTCGGATTTGTTGTCACCGATCTTCCCACCCACCCTGTTGGTAGGCATTATTTCCACTTGATAAATTAGGAAACTGAGGTTTATGAGGTTAAATGACAAACCACAAAG